AGAGTGTGGGGTCTGAGGGTATGTCTACACCGCAGAGTTTTTCTGGGATACCAAAAAACTCTGCCACATCCAGGGAACGCATTTGCTCTTCCGCAAAAAAAAAACCCAGAAGAGCAAATGCGCTCTTTTGGGGAGCCAAATGGCGGAGAAGCTTCTTCTGGAAAAGCAATCGGAAAAAGCTATGCAAATTGTGGAGTGCAATTTGTGTAGCTTTTTCCGAAAAAAGCCTATAGTGTAGACCTAGCCTGAGAGGGAGTTTTGGTGAAGGAGGGGGTCTGCAGTGCACAAAGCTTCCTCCAACCCCTATCACGAAGAGGCAGATGGAGCAGCCAGCCGCTCCGAGCTCTGGGGCTGCTCCCTGCCTGAGGGTCCAGTGGGGTGGGCCACAAGCCAGATTTGAGAGGGCTGGCAGGCTGGATCTTGCCCCCGGGCAAAATCTTACCAACCCCTGTTCTAGCATCCTTCTGCCAGCGAATAGCCTAGCTCTATCCTCTTTGGAGCCCTGCTTCAAGTAGTAAAAGGCTGCTATCAAATCCCTCTTCATTCTTCACTTCTGCAGACTAAACAAGCCCAAATCCTTCATCCTCTCTTCGTAAGCCACGTGCCCCAGACCCCTAGTCATTTTTGTTGCCCTCCACTGGAGTCTCTCCAGTTTGTCCACATCCTTTCTGTGATGGGGGATCCAAAACTGCACACACTTCACTAGTGCCAAATAGAGGGGAATGATTATTTCCCTTGATTGGCTAACAATGCTCTTACTAATGCAGCCCTTTATGCTTCTGCTCAGGCCGGAGATGCAGCCAGTACTCGAGTGATGGTTTCCTATTGTTTCAACTATCACTAAACAAAAGGCTATTTCATTGCTCCCTTATTTAGCCTGCATGAGAGATGGCTAGCACACCCGTCAGCTACAGAAAGATCTGTGTCTTCCAAGTGTCCAGCTAGTGTCTTAACCACTGGCACGTCCATCCTCCCCAGGAATAATATAAGTCTCCCAAATACAAGCCACACACAAACTATTGCACATTTTTAAGTGGTACATGTGGCTAGTTTCACCGATTTCCACTTCCCTGCGCCTTGTTCCATTGTTTGAGGGATACCAAGTTTCTCCACAAAATACTGTCTTGGACTCTGAACAATTATGCCTACAGGTAACAGGAAACTGGTGTTTCAAAAGAAAACCTGAACAGATTGCTAGATAATGGTAGTTTGCTAAGTGAATGTGTGCTTGCCTTGAGGCTTTAGGTTGTTGCCAGATGCACTTTTTTTTTTATTGGTAAGACCAGCAGGTGACGCTTCATGGTATATAAGTGCAAGAAAGACACAGGAGCACAGGTAAGCAGAACCAGCCAGCTGTCTGTCAAGAAGAGAAGAAAACACTGTTCAGCAGCGGGTTAACATGGCATTTGGAATGCTAATCTATATTTTGTTAAAAGGTAGGTTGACTGGGGGGTTTTATTGGTGTCTTGTAGACATAGAGATTTGTATTTCTACATTTGTTTAAGAAAAGTTCACTCATATTTTCTGTAATAAGCTGGGAAGGGGGAACAGGGGAGAAGGCAAAAAGCTCAAAGGAATTCAGAAATTAAATTAGTCTCAATAGTTTCTGACGTCACAGAATTTTTGGACAGATATGATTTACATTTTGAGTGATTTTTTTTAAAGAGAATCTATCTGTCAGTAGATATGTCCCATACAGCCTGTTGTAGTGAACTGTATTGTACACAATATAAAGTAGTTACAATGGGATTTATAACAGCATGGGTATCTATGCTGACACTAAGCAAGCAGTAGCTAGTTTTCTGTTCCCCACAGTCATAACAGAATTGTGACCAAAAGAATTCAAAGAGGCAAGAGCACATTGAAAAAGAAATTTTTATTTAAGCTTATTCATACAAAAGCCCATTTAACGGGCACATTTGTACAGATCAGTGGTTCCCAACCTTTTTGAGCATACGGACCCCTTTTCAATCTATTAAAATTTCATGGCTTGCCCCCTCGGGGAGAGGGGGAAAAAAGAAAAGGAAAAGAAAAGTGCTCCATGATGGGCCTGATCCTTATGTTTAAACTTTCCATGGACCCCATGCAGTACCTCCATGGACCACCAGGGGTCTGCAGACCACAGGTTGGGAACCACGAGTATGGATGAAATAAGCTTCATGCAGAAGTGCTCTCCCATTAAAGCCAATATGTGTTTGCATTACACAGCAATGGTAGCACCGGGTGAAGAGGCCGCTAGCACTGTTTCATCGCTAACCACAGACTTCTGGAATAGCTGGGCAAAAAATGCCACAGAAGGTATTTCTTGTCTAGTCTGTATTGTTTCAAATCAGCGTTTGTGGACTGAAAAGAAAATCCTATCTACTGAATGTAGCTGAATTGATAACTTCTCTTAACGTAGCTGCCATCGTGTTTATTGTCATTGGACCATTTCTCTACCAGGAAATTCTTGCTGAGACCACCTCCTCATTTCAAACAGGCCTCAGAAAGGAGCCCTCAATGATATCAACATTCACTGGCTCCATCTGGATCTGAAGTGAGCCAGTGACGGAGAAGTGAAAGGCTCCTTATCCCAAGTCATACAGGTTTTTTTTTTTAAGTATTTAATAACCAGGTACAGTAGAATCTGTGCATTTTCCGAAGGCCACTCCTGCCAGCCCAAACCATTGTTCATTGTCTGTCTGTCAGCAGCTATTTCTTAACTCTGAATTGTCATGTCCAGTGTGAATACAGCTGATACACTAATAGAGGAAAACTCCCGACTCCCCTCCTTGTTACTGGATAGCTTCTTTGTTGTAGTCTGGGCTTTGGTTGCCTAGAACCCTACGACAGCAGTTGATGGTGTCCTTGTGTTCTTTTTCTTGTTTCTGTTCAATATCTGTCTGCTGAAAGGTGAACATGAAAGGTTGTAAAGACCCGAGCACCGTGCTTGTATTTTTTCCTGCCAGCTGCATTCTTGATGCTACCGTAGGTATTAGCAATTTAATTCCTTGTCATTTAGGGAAATGAGGACTCTTGAAATCAGGTCTTGGAAGGTAAGTGAAGGAGGAATGGATTTTTTACGATTGTTTTAATAAGATGTATTTGTCTTTAGTTTTTAACGCTACACATTCATTCTTTTGAAACAACCTAAACAATTCTAAATAGCTTTTTAATCAATCTGTAATTCTTTTCCTCCCCATCACCCACAGAGAGTCAAAATATGATTCTGCTGACTGGTATCAGTCAGTCATATAAGGGCCATCATGGGCATCAGGTATGTAAGGCAGGAGAAGGCTCTGCCTTCCCAAACCGCCAACCAAAGCCCCGCCTACACTCCGCCCCCAGAGCACCTACTGTAGGCAATTTGGGAACGGAGTGTTGCTACCTTCAGCGCCCGCCTGCCCAGTGCTCTGGGGCTGGGGAGGCCAGGTGTGGCGTGTTCTCCTCCCTCCCCCAGTGCTCAGGGATTGGAGACACTGGACTGCACAGCCCAGCACACCCTGCCTCCTCCCTCCCCCAGTGCTCAGGGATTGGAGACACTGGACTGCGCAGCACAGCACACCCTGCCTCTTCCCTCCCCTGTGCTCCGCATGGCCTGACCAGCCCAGCCTCTCCAGCCCCAAGCTCTGGGGGACAGAGGAGTCAGGGCACATTGTACTGCCCGCCTGGCCCAGCCTCTTCCCTGGTGCTCGAGAGTGTTGGTTGGGCCGTGCGCCTTCCATCGGGGCTGGGGAAGCTGTGGTGCATGCATGCCCGCTCCTCTCTCCTCCCCTCCCCATGGCTGGAAAGGAGGAGCACTCATGTGGCATGCTGCCTTGCCTCCCAGGGGGTGGGGAAGGGTGGGGCCTAGCAGAAGGGGCAGGGCTGGAGGTCGGGCTGGTGACTTGCCTCCTCCAGTCCTGCCATCGATGACGGCTCTAGTGGTGTGCAAGTAAAGAGATGCATGGTACTTTTTGGCCTGCTTTGTAAGTGCAGATTGAACCATTCTAGTTGGGCACACTCTGATCCGGCAACATCCGTCATCTGGCATGATTTTAGTTAGCCAGATGTCCATTTATCATGGGTGTGGTCAGCTTTCCCATTGCCTCGTAACGTTCGTTTACAGCTTCCAGTCCTGGCTCTGTGTTCTGTGCTGTTATTTAGCTCTAATTTACCCCTCAATGTTTTCTAAGAGCCCAGTAAGCAGTGAAAGTGGCTGTATTGCTGCTAGACAGCATTGACCTCCCGTAGTTTGGAAAATTCTCTGGTTTAGCACCAGTCAAGTCCCCGGGATGCTGGACTAGAGAGGTTCAACATGTGCAGTGCTTTCTTTTAACAGTGCGGATGGAGCCTGTGACCTGGCTTTAGAGTGTTTCTGTGTGGCATGGGTGTTCTTCCAGGGTTGGATATTAGGGATGTAAAGTCCTGTTTAATCAATTAGCCAGTTAAACATTATGTTTAATCAGTTGACTATGTGAACAAGATGGGCACAAGGCTGCTTCAGCCCAGCTGGACCACTAGTTAACTAGTTATTCATTGATATCCTTATTGGCAGTAGAGGAAAAAATGGTTCTTTTTTGCTTCACATCGCTATAGATATTTATGTGGTGATTCATTGAGTAGCCTTGCTCTCTGCAATATTGTTTGTATTAGAGAGAGAAAATGTATTATGGGCCAGATTTTTACAAATTCACTTGCATGAACAAAGCCTTGGGTGCGGCTGTACCAACCTCAACATGCAGTTGCTGATGTTATGGATATAAAATGGATATTTGCAGTCAGCAATACATTGTCTTTCAAAATTGCTCCCAAATGCCGGCATGTACTTGCACACTTGGTTTTGTAGTGTGACAGACCCAGGGCAGCTGGCTACCATAGTTTGGTGGGGGGCAGGCATACCAGGAGCTGGGTGAATGGTTTTCTCTTTCCTGAATAAACTGCCAGAGACTGCTGCCACATAATCAGGGCAGGTACCTGAGGCTAATTCAGAGCTTGCCTGAAGCAGCAGGCTAATCAGGCACCTGCAGGCAATTAAGATTTGCTGGCCTACTTTAAAAGGTTTCCCCTCAGGTAAGGGGGGAAGGAGAAGAGCGAAGGACTGAGAGGAGGAAGTGTGTTGCTGGAGAGCTGAGGACTGAATAAAGGAAAGAGTTTGTGTTGAAGCAGGGAAGATTCGCTCAGGTACCAGGAAGAAGGTACTAGGGGAGCATTTGGGGAAAGTGGCCCAGGGAAAAAGAAGCTGCTTTGGGATTAAAAGTAAAACACTGTTAGTTGCCTCTCTCTAGGGTTCCTTAGCTGGAACCCGGAATAGTGGGTGCTAAAAAAATCTGTTCTCCCCACTGCTAAAAAATCTGTTCCTGAAAAGGGAGGCCAGGATTATGGAGGGTTTCCCACGCCCCAAATCCTTTGACTTTGCCAGTGATGAGGATGGATCAGTAAGCTATGACCCTGGCCTCTAGAAAAGGTAAAAGGTCAGGGTGGAGGGTCACAGCAAACCTCTAAGGCAAACAATAACCACCTAGAAGTGTAGCACCCACGAGGCATGGCCGGAGCTTTGCCACAGTAGATATTATTGGTCCTCTGCTTTTAAAAACTGTAACCCTTTCAGAGTTAGAAGACTGGATTTGGGGGTGGAAGGAAATGTTTAGAAAACTCTTTTATGAATCTGGTCACATCCCTTTACTCCATCCTTAAACTTCCATTTCTAGGCAGGAGGAACAGTCGTTCAATAGTGAAGAAAGGAAGCTCATACTCAACGCATGTTCATCGCAAACTCTTAGGAAATTAACTAACTCCCAAGGAAATGCCAGATTGGAATTTAGAGTATCCAGTGGAATTGTGGGGCCACAGCAAGGTGCTGCGTGAGGGAAATGGTGGGTGTCAGCCAATGAAAGGCAAACGTGTGCTGATTCCCACCCCATCAACCAAGAACCTTCCTCCTTGGCTAGTCTGTGTGTTATATACAGTCGTCTTCAAGTGTAGAGAGCAGGGGGTGGTGGGTCACCTGCAGAGGCGAGGTCAGTGAGAGGAGGGAAACAACATGGAGAGAGAGGCAGCTGGGCTGGCAGCTTCCTGAACATTGATAGGGAATATAAGTTTTCCTTCCTGCTCGAGGGGGGATGTTCTCCAATGTTCAGTGGGAAGGAACTGGGCGGGTGGGAAGGGTCTTGTCGACCAGAGTGGGCTGAGGGGGCCAGAACTTGGGAAGAGCTACTGGAACTACATGGATGGATGCATTGTCCGCGTCTCAGAGCCAGCAGCTCCTGGAGAATGCGGCGGTGCTGAGTTCCTAGGAGGAGCTCGACCCCCCTCTCTGCCCCAGGCACCCATTGTTTTTTCTGTGACTCAGCATCTAGGGGTGCACATACTGCTGTTGTCCTTGGTGGCAAAATGCAGGAGAAAGAACGGGCAAAACCCACCAGCTCTTGCCAGCTATCCAGAACCGGGACCAAAGGAAGCAGATGGTCCAATCCTAAAGCGCTTGCCACTTATTCCCCAGCAACGAAACAAGGGCTTCTGCAACGTGTGTTTTCTGTGCACTGGGGACAGAAGACACTTCTCCCTGCTGTTCTTTGGGAGTTTGCGGGGAGAGGAAAAATGCAGGGAGCTCCCCATTGGTTCAAAGCATGGGTTCCCAAACTGGGGGTGTGTGAAGAAATTCCAGGAGGGGTGTGAGGCGACCCAAGTTTTGCTGCTATTTTTGTTTTTCGGCCCCAGTCAGTTCCTTTTTTTTTTTTTGCTGCTATTGGGGTGTGGGGGGGACATGAGGGTTTATCAAAAATCGAAAAGGGGGTGTGATGCCGAAAAGTTTGGGAACCACTGCCATAGAGCACCCAGAAGTGAGTCAGCTGCTGTGCTGAAGTCAGCTTAGTTCACCGCTGCATTTACCAGCACCCCTGGGGAGGAGGAGTTTCTCATCGTCTCAGAAATGAGGCAATAGGCATAAAAGTTACCTCTGAAGAAATGATGGGCCTCTGACACTCATGCTGATTTTGTGTGTACACATATGGCCTCACTCTGTGTGTGTGTGTGTGTGTGTGTGTGTGTGTGTGTGTACATACATGTGGTACCTGTAGCATATACACTTAGTTTTTCTTTTACAGCCACTCAGTCATTCTGTGTCAAACAATAAAATTTGTCAGTTTTGTCCTGGCCAATCCCGTCTGCCACCCATTATTTTGATTTCATGTCAGATTAGGTCAAATTCATCTCTTCTGTGGCAAACATCCACATGACTTAAAGAGCAAACAGGTATTAAGAGCTGGTTCTTATCCGAGGCTTTTTATTGGTAGATCACAAAATACTTTGCAAAGGTCACAATCGCTATGTGCTCTTAAAATAGCTTATCTAGTGTCTAGGTGGGTAAGATGATATTTAAATTGATATAATAGTCTCCGTATTGGATTAGAAAACAAGTTTTTCTCTTTGTTTCTGATTTTATAATTCATTTGAATGTCACTACTCTGAAATTATCCAGTTACAGTATTTAGCACTTTTAACTTTTATGGCTGGGAACTTGCAGCCCTTACTTAGACAAAACTCTCACCACTGTCAGCGGTACGCATGTGTGTGAAGAATTACAGTAGGACTGAATCCCTGAATTACAGAACTTTTCTCTCTAAGCTTTGTCTCAAACCATTTTCTAGGCATGTTTTCCTTCTCGTTTTAAATGCATGTGGAATAACAATGTGAGGTCGGAATTAGCTATTTTGTACTTTGCATTCTATGAAGATGGAATGCTGCCACCTTTTGGCAACTTGCAGGGATATATCAAACCAGGAAGTGTGTGGTGGTGGTTTAACACAGAGCGAAAATATTACAGGTTTATTCAGACACCTGGAGATTTTGTGCTTTTTTTCTATGCAGATAAAATTTACTAATGATAAGTTTTTCATGTACTTTAACCATCATACAATGGCATTCAGTGACATACTTAGCAAAAGAATCCTACCTCCCTGGCATAACTCCAGTACATGACATTTAAAATGAAAGGCAGAGCTTATCTCTCTTGTACCATGCGTGTTTGCTCGTATGCTCTATTGTTGTGGTTTGTGTGAATTAGTATTTG